CCCCCAAAACCCCAAAACCCCAAAACCCCATCAGGGTTGGTCCAGATTGAAATATTTTGCGAATGCAAGCTATTTGTTGACCTAATGCTGCATCTCCTGCATGATCTCTACAACCTCATCAATAGCGTTGCCTATGTCCTCAACGCTGGTGTGGTTGTACCAGGAGATTTGATGGATTGGTTGAGATATATTTTTCCCTAGCTCTGTCTTTTGCTCAAAGATGACGGTTCTTCTATCAATATTCACCCATGCCTCAATCTGTTCTGTCTTAGGCTGAGGCGAGTTCCTGCTTCTGCTGAATCAACCTAAGTTTGGAGATTCAATTGTGCTGGAAGAGGCCTTTGATTTAGCAATAATTGATTGCTTTGGAACCTGAGTTTTGCTGTAAGGTGTGCAATTCGAAGCAGTGCTAATAGTCCTCTTTCTCAGCGAAGTTGGAGGGGTATTCTTGCTTACACTACTAAAAGTTTAGCAAAAATACTTACCTAGGCGTGTTTGGAGATGCAACCCTATCAATCGGGTTAAAAGTAACCCTTTCTTTATGTGGAGGGCTTCATAGACTACTTAGCTATAAAAGAATTAGTCTAATATTCGAAAAATTTCAGAAAATTTCTGACTAAATTCATACCCCAGGCCTCCTTTCATCAAGCATGTTTTTGATGTTTCCTCTTGAAATGTTCCTAGTCGCTCCAGGCTTCTTCTTCGGAGTCAGCTTAGGCTTTTCAGGTGTCAAATTAATGACCTTCCCACTAACGACCTTGGTCTTAGGCATCTGGTAGCTAAGAGTCTTACTAGACTGGAGACCTTGGCCTGATGGGAACATGACTGCACCCAGAGGCACTGTTGGAGACCCAAAGTCACCTCCGCTACTGCCCGAGGACATAGTCTTAAAGAGGAACTTAGCACTGGCAGGTTGTTTCTCACCCAAAATCCTGAGATTTTTCTGCTCGTATTTCTCAGTCTTGGTCCTGATGTTCTTAGTGTCCATGACCTTGCCTACCTTAGGAGTGGGCGTTCAAGGAATTATGAACGAACTCGTCATGTTGATCGAGTCTTGATTCTTCGTAGAGAACTTGAACTGAGAAGATAGTTCGTGCTCTGAGATCCTAGAGTTCACCTCATCTACAGTGTAAAGTCTGTTCGATGGTGAGTAAATCGAACATTTGAAGAAAGTGTTTGTGTAAGGTGTTGTGATCGAGTGAGAGTTCAAATCCCTTCTTATCAGATTCTCAGAGTCAGAATTAGGCAACAAGCTCTGAATGTTGTTGATTATCTCCACTCTAGGTTCACCAGAAGAGGAACTCAAGATGCTAAAAGATCAGAAAAGGCTCTTACCTTGTCTTTTCCAAGGGATAGACGAACGCACTGGTCTCTTCAGTAAAGATATTTGAAGATTTAGGATATTGCTGAGCAAGTTTCATTTCAGGAGTGTTCAAGTTCTGATTGGTTTTCATATCACGAGACTCATTAACTCTTTTGAGATGCTCTAGCTGGTAATTCGTTAACTTCCCGCCTATAGGAGTCCTAGAATTTGACGGTATTATCTTACTTAGCTTGAGGCTTGAGTTTTACAGGGATGTTTTCTTTATTCTCTCTTCTATTATCTAAACTTCCTTCTTGAATGTTTCTCCAGAGATTTATTTCCCTTCTATACTCAAAATATCAGAGAAAGTTCACGAAAAGTTTCTTGTGCTAAGGTATAAGTAAATTTGGTCATGGTTTCACTAGGAATGTCAAACTATGAAGTTAGGCTCTTTAGAATGGTGCATTCTTGCAGCCGATAGACCCCTCATCAGCTATTAGAAGTGCTGAATGTAAATGGGAATTTGTTCTTAGGATTTAAGATCTGGTACCTTTTCTCATTACTTTTAGACAGCGATAAGGAGTCTGCGTTCGAGGTTTTCAGAGTATCGTTTATAGTATTATGTATCAACTCACCCTTTACAGAGTCATAAGGGATAGTCTCGATGGTCTTCTTTTGGAACGAAGAGAATGGAGAGAAACATTTATGGCTAGATATTCCATTACTCTGGTTCATAGTCAGGTGATGCTGCAGCTTCGTCTCATCAGACTCATTAAACTCTGGAGCATGAATGTTCTCATTCTCTGAACAATAGGAAATAGAGAGGTTAGATTCGTTGTTAGTCTTGTTGAGAGTAAACGGCATGGAAATACCAAGTACTTCAATGTCATTTACAGGCTGTGAGCGTGACCTTTTCAGGCTATTTTTGCTTAATGTGCCTTCAATAGTAAACTTTATATTCCCCAGGATCGATGAAGAGGGGGATATACACTTTTCCGACATTTTCCGCGAACGATGAGTTTCCAAGTTTGAATATCAATTCTCTATCCAAATTTCTCGATTGTCTGGGAAACTCTTTCGTATTGGTCCGAACTAGATACAGAAAATCAGGCTTTTTGATAAATCCATAGGTAAATTGTGCAGTGATATCAAGTACAGGGACTTCCTTCCTTCGGTTCTTCGATGTCCGGATCTTTTGAGGAGGCATAATATCCCCAATAGTGATATCTACTTGAGAAGCAGGCTGTGTGCAGCACAAGGACATGAAAGCCCTCTTTATCATTTTGAATTTTAAAATATTAACCACATCAATAGTAAACCTGACTATTGGGGTTTTGGGGTTTTGGGGTTTTGGGGTTTTGGGGGAATGTTTGTTTGGAGAAGGAGCTTACCTATTGGGTCTTGGAGAGTAGAGTTTACTTGAGGGTCAGGAGAAATAAATCTTGGGTTAAGCCTACCTCCTCGACTATTATTTTCACTTAAGGGGCTTCTTGTTGGAGAAAATTGAGGGCTGAAAGTTCCACCGTAAAGTGTGAGTAAACTATCAACCTCTTGTTTTAGTTGAAGAGCACCAATTTTCAATTGCTCCTGCACATTTATTGGTTCTTTATTTAGGTACTGGAACGTATGGTTTTGGTTGAACGGGAGATTGACAGAGAGGTGCTACCATTCTTGTGTTTCTCCTTTTCAGCTCATTTTTCAAAGCCTGATGTTTGAACTTTGTCTTAATAATATCTTCATTAATTGAGATCCTTCTTTTATACGTTTTATTGACGCTTATTGCTTTTCTTCCTGCTCTCACTACTTCAGAAGGAGACCATGGCCTGTTTGTCTTCATTTAGTATTGTTATCTTTAATTTAATTTTTCGTAATTGGGGTTTTGGGGTTTTGGGGTTTTGGGGTTTTGGGGTTTTGGGG